AAGGTTATTCTGCTCGGGGTGGATATTAAAATAATTAAAAACCTGGGAGTTAGCCGCCTGTATACGGATAGAAAATTGCAATTGGTACATAAAAATATGAAAGGAGCGTAAGACAAGAATATATCTTTTCTCCGGTTCAGTTCAACCTCTACAGCAAGAGTACCCTAATATACCAGGGTATTGGTTGGTTGATTTGTCTAACGATATATCAACTCCTTATGAGTCATTCAGTGCCGAAATTTAATTTTCTTGGGAGCTTTGAAGTAATAAAAAAATGATATATGTTGTTCTGCTTTCACAATTGAATACATGGTAGATGATACGCAGCTTTTATGCATAAACATGTTTATGGGGACATAATTACTAGAAACGATAATATGTGTTTTATGCTGTAGTTTTGTTGAAGTTATATTTTGGTATACAGTTTGATTTCTTTCAGAAATTGTAAGATATAAGGATTAAAATCATGAAAAAATTTTATCATGTTGCTTGTTTGGTTGATTTTGTTTAGTAGTATATCAACCTCTGTGGATTATTTAATGCCGAAATCTAAATATTTTGAATATAATTTAATGGCTTCAACTACAGATAACATGTAATGCTGGTATTTTTATATAAAAATGTATTTATATACTTTCATTGCGTTTTGTTTGGGGGTTTATTATTTGCCCATAGTTGGAACCCTAAAAGGGGCTACGTCCCCGGGTCAGGGTGGACCTTGGAACAATATCAAATAAGAGATAGTTCTACGCTCTTCAAAACCTTCAATCTCCCGATCAACGGTCTTGATGCCGGATGTAGTTTATCATCATACCCAGGACTAAAGATAACAGTAACTATTATCGGTGGACACGACCTTGGTAATATAAGATACGCATATGACACTTGGACGATTTTCTCAAAGATGAAGAAGAGACTCGAGGCGACGGAGATGTGGTTCTACAGAAGGATGCTAAGGATATCATAGACGAGCATGTGAGCAACGATGAGGTTTTAGAGAGAATACAAACAAGGAGATGACTTATGCTTAATATCAGGAAGAGGCAGATGAAGTTTCTGAGGAAGTAGGGTCTGGAGAATCTGATACTCACGGGTCGAATAGAGGGAAAGAGAGACAAGGGAAGGCAGCGAATGACATACCTGGCGAGGTGGAAGGCAGAACGTGGACTGGGGGAGGAAGCAGAGAGAAGGAACTTGCGGAGAGCTGCTAGGGATAGAGGGAGGTGGAGAGCCATGATCGCCTACGTCCTCAAAGGACATGGCACATAAAAAGAAGAAAAGATATAACATTGTCCTTATGGGTGACACAGAAAGAGAACTACAGTGCCTTCAAATCAAAGTAGTAAATAAAAGCGGAAAAAAGGACTATCAATTGTAAGAATTCAGGATTATGATTTTCAGCAAAAGAAAAGCTCAAGTTATGCGAGCTATGAATTGGAGATGTTAAAATCAAACAAGTACAGAAATCTTTGAACAAAGGATGGAAAATGTGACACCGAAATCCGAAGTCGCGTTGGAACAGAAAAAGATACTTTTCAAAAGACTAAACAAAGTATTAAGAAACAGAAGAATTTCATTAAAAACAAAGACAAGAACACTGGATTGAAATATAATATCAATCCACCCATATGACATTGAATCCTAGACAATTTCCTCACAGATGGAAAGAAGACTAGAGGTAACAGAGATGTGGTTATTAGAGGGATGCAAAGAATACCATAGATAGAGCATATGAGTAACGAGGAAGTTTTAAGGAAAATGGAAATGAAGCGGCCAGTTGCATTTATAATGTCATAAAGAGACACTTGAATCTTATTTCATTTAATGAAAAAAGAAGGTCTGGAAAATTTAACACTCACAAGACATATCGAAGGAAAAAGGGACAAAAGCAACAAGGATATAAGAAAATAGTGAGTATCCTACTTAACGAGTTTGCACAAATGGATGTCAGAACAGGATGGGGGGATGATAGTAAAATGACAAAAATTGCTAAGAGGTACGAAGGATAGGCAATAACCAATTCTTGTCAAACCATCTCTTTGTGTCAATTTAAATGTTTCTCATAACAACACTAGATATACTGGAAACAGACTTTGCAACAAGCAGTGATCGTCTATAAGCGTAATAGTAGCGTCAGAAAAATACAAGACACTGTTCTATGGTTGATAGCAGCCCTCGCTTTATTCGGACGTAAATTTGACATAGAAAGAGAAGATAAGACTTCTTTAGGCAAAATTATTTGATCCTTTCGAACCGGACTAAATAACCGGAAAGAATGTCGAAAACTTAAAGCCAACGGGATATTTCACCAGCCTTATTATACACGTCTCCTACGAAATCTACATGAGTGCCTAGTAACGAGCCATCTCCATCTTGTTAATGAATGTGATTCACTATGAAAGAAGTGTCTTTTAATTACGCCAGTCCTAATCCACTTTGATCATTTCACATTGCTGAATGTATTACGCCATTCTGGTTAACTTATAGTATTTTATTATCATCATATTACAGAAGTAAAGAGAAACTTCCTTTGATCTCGCTAGCCATAACCTTTGATCACTCCCCACGACTGAATATATTACATCAATCTGGTAATATCATCTCATTTTAATTTTACAATATTACAAAATACGATAAATTTTCGTTGATCATGCCATTTTTAACCATATTTGATCACTCAACATATATATTACAAGCAATGTGGCTATGTTTGCATTCTTTAATCTTACCATATTACAGAATATAAGAGAAATTTCTTATAATCATGCCAACCATAACCCACTTTGAAGACTCACCATTAGTAAATATATTACATCAGTGTGGTTATGTTATTTTAATCTCTCCATATTACAGAATGTAAGAGAAATATCCTTTGATCATGTCAGCTATGACCCTCTTTGACAACTCAATATTAGTAAATATATTACGTCAGTCTGGTTATATTATTTTAATCTCTCCATATTACAGAATGTAAAAGAAATATCCTTTGATCATGTCAGCCATGACCTTCTTTGACGACTCAACATAAGTAAAATACATCTGTCTGGTTATGTTATATTAGTATTTCCATATTACAGAATATGAAAGAAATATCCTTTGATCATGCCATTCATAAGCATCATTGATCTTTTTACTGAATATATTATCTCAGCTTGGCAATGTTATCTGATCTTAATATTCCATGTTACTAGATATGAGAGCTGTGTATTTTTGATCCTGCCAGTTATAACTGTATTTGTCCAGCCATATTGCTGAATATATTGCATCAGTCTGACTACGTTATCTTATTTCAGTCACGCTATTTTATTGAATAGGAGAGACGTGTTCTTTTGATCATGCAAGTCATGACCTTCTTTGGTCAAGCCACGTTTCGAAATATTACATTTATCATTAATCATGTTGCTTTCAAGTTAACTGCGTTTTGAAAATTTCCTCTTTCATCATCGATATTTAGATATAAATTCTGGGAACGTTCCAAGACATTACTATTGACATTTCCTGTCTCGAGAGTAAGTCTGAACATTTCGATAAGGTGAAATATAAAAGGACCTACCGTTTGTTGTTAACTGGAGCATGGAGTGGCTTGTAAGTTTTAACGCCAATAAAACGAAACTTCTCTTTATTAATCCCCTGAAAGACCCCCTTCCTGCCTCTCATCGGCGTGGCTGATGCTAACCTACATGTGAGTGGCTCGTTGTGCTTTCTCACACTAACATTCTTAGCTGATATGAAGTGGTCAGACTATATTGAATCCATTGCTACGTCTGTTGCTAAGAAAGCCGGATCATTTTGTCATGCTAGATAATTTTTCTCTCCAGAATTTATCTTGTATATTTATAAGTCAACCATTCGTCGATGCTTTGAATATTGCTGCCACATATAGTCCAGTGCTCCCACTGTATATTTAGAAATTCTTGATGAAATCCAAAGAAGAATCAGAAATACTATTGGTCCTGATCTGGCGTCTTGGCTTCATTCACTTTCGCACAGACGTAATGTAACTTCCCTTTGTCTTTTCTATAAATAAATCCATGGTAATTCTATGTGAGCTATTGTACGTAGACTTTATTACTTTAAGCGCAGCACTAGATTGGTAGCAAGATCTCATGGATTCATAGATGGATTGGCTAGATGTAACCGAAAGTTCTATGCTAACAGTTTCTTTTCTCGCACTTCTCACTTGTGGAACTCTCTTCCGGCTCCAAACTTTCCAGTCAACATTTATCTTCAAAAAATTTAAATGTAATTTCAATCGTTATCTACTATCTTCCTGGTTAATCTTCTATTCTTTTCGCTCCCTAACGTTTGTGTTTCTTTTTTCTTGTTCTTCCACACTCAGTAACCTCTTGTGGCTTCACTGTCTTACATGAGTGATTTAAAAATTACGTGGTGATTGAATTGATTGGTTGATTTCTTTTTTGGCGGTTTGACAACCTTTACGTTGTGGTTGAAATTTTTTAAATATAAGGGAATTTGTTTAACAAAGGATGAAAAATGTGGAACTGAAATCCAAAAACAAGTTGGGCTAGCAAAAGGTGCTTTCCAAAAATTAGACAAAGTGATAAGAAACAAGAAAATTTCGTAAAAAAAAAAGAAAAGGGTGGTGGAGTGTTGTGCAATACGAATCCTCCTCTATAGCAGTGAATGCTGGCCATGTTCCTCACAGATACAAAGAAGACTGGAGGCAACAAAGACGGGGTTCTACTGACGGATGCTGAGAATACCAACGACAGTGCACGTGAGTAACGAGGAAGTTTAAAGTAAAATGGGAAGAAAAAGGTCATTTATACATAGAGATAGATTCTGGGTCATATAATGAGGAAAGAAGACTTGAAAAATTTAACACTCATAGGACATATATCGAAGAAAACAGCGATTAACCTACGTAGCGAGGGTTGGGTAAATGGATAGCAAAATAGGTTGGAAAAAGGATAGTAAAAAATCACTCATTGTTAAGAACTAAAAAGGATAGGAAATTGTGGAGAGCCATGATCGCTCACATCCTGAAAGAACGACAGAAAGAAGAAGAAGAAGAAGAAGAAGAAGAAGAAGAAGAAGAAGAAAGTAACTGAAATAATTCCTTCTTTCGTATGGGTATCAGCGGTCGATGTTCGTGTCATATAGACATCAAGATTTATCCATCTCTCTTCGCAAGATTGACAAGTCGTTCTCATAGGATTTCCTTATCGAGTGATTTGCATCTCAATCTTGATATACACCCATGAACCTGCACCACTATACCTCGGGGATATCAAGCGCTTGAGAAGTTTGCAGTGCCGTCATTAGCACTACCATATGCATATCTCGCGGAAAGACAATATCCCTAACACCAAGGTTCTTGTCAAAGCAAATATGTCAAGTGTAGAAACTCTGCTAGCAACAGCAAGACAACGATGAACTTGTCATATCTGTCATTTGGACGACTCTCGATTGCTAAAAATTGCTCAGTATGATGAACTGAGATCTGTAGACGTATCGGGATGGTCAAAGACACATTCTAAAAGCTGAGCAGAGTATTGCGAGACAATGGGATTTCTTTAGTAACAAAGAAAAAAATACTGAGCTATTACGTGGCATCTGTTCTTCTTTACGGCAGCGAATGTTGGACGATTTCCTCAAAGATGAAGAAGAGACTCGTTGCAACGGAGATGTGTTTCTACAGAAGGATGCTAAGGATATCATGGACCGAGCATGTGAGCAACGATGAGGTCTTAAAAAGGTTACAAACAAAGAGGAGGCTTATACTTAACATCAGAAAGAGGCAGCTGAAGTTTCTGGGACAGATAATGAGGATGGAGGGCCTGGAGAATCTGATACTCGAATAGAGGGAAAGAGAGACAAGGGAAAGCAGTTCATGACATACCTGACGTGCTTGAGCAGGTGGATGACAGAACATGGTCTGGGGGAGGAAGCAGAGGAGAGGAACTTGCTGAGAGATGTAGGGGATAGGGGGGTGGAGAGCCATGATCGCCTACGTCCTGAAAGAATATGGCACATAAAAAGAAAATGATTAATTAAAGGGCGGGAAGAGATGGCGAACAATCAAAGACACCGCGATAAAGACTGCACCAAGAGGGTCCTTAAAGCGATGCAAATCTACGTAAAATAAAACTGCTGGCTGCTAACCGCCCTGCATGGCGTCGAACGCTTTATAGTCGAGTAGCAACAACGAACCATCGAGACTGGTCAGTTACCAGCGACTATCCCACCGGCGACATGGACGTCATGCAATTCAAGCCACTGAACCTAGATGAATAGCCTTTTTGCGTCTTTGTCGAATACCAAGACAATCCTTGATGATTATACGATTTCCTATTTGTGAAGTCATGCCATGTAATTGTTTATTTGGATAGGACTTAAATGGTTTCGTAATGTTGATTAAAATAGCCTCGAAGGCTCATTGGGATAGCGAAAGATGCCTTCCAAAAGCTAAACAATTTATTAAGAAACAGGAAAATCTCGTTAGAAACAAAAAATGTGTACTGGACTGTTACATAATAACAGTCCTCCTATATGGAAGTGAATCCTGGATAAGCTCCTCACGAATGAAGAAAAGACTTGAAATAACAGAAATGTGGTTCTACAGAAGGATTGGGAATACCATGAAGTGAAGATGTAAGCATGTTATACTGGAACACACCTATTCTATAGTTAATAGACTCTCCCACCTATAATAAGTAGTAGTAGTAGCAGTTGCGAAGGGGCTCTGTGAGTTGGTGAGTCAGTCGATGTGGGACATTAAGAGTATCAGCGACCACCACTAGATTTCTCTGCGTCATTACCTATTATATCAAGTTCCTAACGTTTTGTACATCGAGCCTATTTTAGGACCGACTTAGTGAAATACAAGCCTCCACTGTGAAACTACTCTACAAAGCAACAACGAAGTTTAGAGAAAATAGAAACAAAAAATGTCACTTAACATCAGAAAAAGACAGTTGGAATTTCTAGGGCACAGAATGAAGAAAAAGAGCTTGGAAAAGACATAATCGCGCACGTCCTAGAGGGAAGAAAATAGAAAAGAAGACTTAAAAACTTCGTATAGGAATCATAGAATGACGGAATGAAATCCGAACGTGCAGCGGAATATTGAAAGGTCTTTGCAACTACTGCCAATGCTCTCAGTGTATATTCGTCACCTGCTTATGGTACAATTCTTTAAGGTCTCGAACAAAGACCTGTTTTTTATTTATTTTCTCACTAGATCTCCTTCTCAAACTGCGCAACATTTAGTATTATTAGTATTATTACAAGGATGTCTTTTACAATAATGATCAAAGCCCAAGAGTCACTCGAGTTAGAGGGTCACAGAGTAATAGGGACGTTTTATGGGGATATGTGGGGAAGGTACAATTCTATATGGTTGCGACGAAAAGTACTGGTTTTTATCTATTTTCTCACTATCTCTCCTTTTCAACCTGTGCAAAATTTAGTTTGGATTTTTTTATTTATCATTATTAGTATTATTCCAGAGATGTTTTTTACAATAATTTTCACTCTATACAAGGCCTAAGTGTCACTCGAGGTAGAGGGTTACAGAGTAAGAGGGACGTTTTATGGGGACATGGGGGGGTACAATTCTTTATGGTCTCGACAAAGTCCTGGTTTTTATCTATTTTCTCTCTATCTCTCTTTTTCAAACTGTGTAACGTTTAGTTTAGAGTTTTTTATTTATCGTTACTCGTATTATTCCAGGGATGTTTTTACAGTAATGTTCACCCTGTACAAAGCCCAAGAGTCACTCGAGGTAGAGGGTTACAGCGTAAGAGGCACGTTTTATGGGGATATGTTGGGAAGATAACGGTTAACCCTAGATTTGAACTGGTTAAGATTGTAATAATTGGGAAAGTATCCCCTTGGGAGTCAAGACCCGAAAATTCGGATTGGTGTGCCGAATTCAGATTCCAGCCGAGTCAATTGCATTCACTTTCCCACAAATACAAAATCATCTCTTCTTACTCTCAGGACTAACTGAACGTGCTGGCTTACCTTGGTAAACACATTGATAAAAACACAACTCAGAATCCATAATCGGTTTGGCGTGAAGCTATCAAAAAATTACTTGTATTGGGTGTCTACAGAAGTAACACGCATACATGATATTATTACAAGTGTTGCTATAATTACAATGTACATTGCGCCTACAGTAGAGCGACAGTCACCAAACTTGAAGACTGGCCGCTAATGTAATGAGTTTCTCTTTTAGCGGATGCGTCTTTTTGTTAGACAAGGCAACCCTTATTACATAAATATTATGATAATTACTGCCATCATGGCGCCTACTCATTTTTACCAATTACAAATGCTGCGCACTCACAGACCATGTCACTGGTGTAGCTATTGTGTTCGGTGCTTAAATGCTCCATAATGGTAGACTTTTCCCTATTTAACTAAATTTAGAAAATAAATAACCCCAGTCATTATTAGATTATGTTTTGTAAAAAAAAAAGGTGTTACCAGAATATTGCTTGAAATTGAGAAATTTTTTAGCCTGTCGATGAAATCTGTTTCTTTTTTTTTTTACTTCTTCGATGTCTAGCAATTTCTTTTCTTGTCTTTACTCTCAATGAGTTCACAAATTTGAAACCTACAGCCTCTTTCTGGTATTTATGCCAGAAATTCCTCTTAGGATGAACGCCGCTACAACTGAGTGATTATTAGCGGATTAACATTGCAGCTTTTTGCGATAGGTTCGATCCTCACTTGGTGACCTACAGTTGTAGACTAGTTGCAGATAGAGCAAGGCTGAGTAAGTATTAACATTCTTAGATATCCTCACACACACACACACACACACACATATATATATATATATATATATAAGGAAAAATTCGAAAGATTTATCTTAGGACAGACTTCAAATTTTGCAGATATAACACTCGTTAGAGTCAAACGAGCAGTGAACCTTCGAGACTTGAAGTTAGTGCTTTGAACTATTTTGACTATATATATATATATATATATATATATATATATATATATAAAGAACAGTAACAGTCTTCTTATAGATATTTTTATTTTTACAAAATAGTGCTCGATGTAAATTTACAGAGCATTAATATTATAAATTAATTGATTTAAATATGTTTTTTTTCGCTACACAGTTCTAACCATGTTTCAAAAATGGAAGCTAAAAGCTTCGAATTTAATTCTGTAATTAAATTAAAGACATTAGTTCCATTTCATCCTCAAGCGAATTTTTTTTCTCTTGAAGATGAAATAGAATTAATGTCTTTAATTTAATTATAAAATCAAATTCGAAGCTTTTAGCTTCCATTTTTCTGAAACATGGTTAGAACTGTGTAGCGAAAAACATATTTTAAATCAATTAATTTATAATATATATATATATATATATATATATATATATATATATATATATATATATATATACTATGACTATATGTGTGTGTGTGCATGTGTGTAGAACAGGTTTTATTGTATTCAGCCAACAAGATCTGTTTGTTTGTATATTACACTTTCAGTTTTCTACAAAATTTGTTGTCCATCTGGATGAAAATTGTAGATAAACTGGCCAAAGTTCTGTTTTTTTCCGTGTATTTTTGACTGTTTCATTTATTATATACAGTAGACAACATTTTATTAGTTACACTCTCACCTTTTACGTGTATATATAAGTAACGTAGTGTATGGGACGGTTTCACAGATCTTGACAGCACCAGGAGACTAATATGTTTAGTATTTTATACGCATTACATTTATATATTACACACATTTTAAATGTTTTACGTACATTATAAAATGCTTTCTGTCGTGATGAATGATTTTTAATGCTAGTTGTTTATTTTGTGTTGTAATAGTTTCGTGCATTTTGCGTCTTTCCTGGCAATGAGTACGATATAGCATTCTGGCAATATTTGTCTCGTGTTAATCGTTGTATTTTACTTGTTTATGACGTGATGATCAATATGAAATTTTGCTCCAGATAAGTAAAAGCTTATTTGAAAATTGGAAAATACAATAAAAATGAGGCAAAATAACCTTGCTGGTTGAATTTAATAAAAATTATCTAATTTAATTTGTTGCAGTCTAAATAAACATTAGATGTGTTTAGGCATATCTCTCTCTCTCTCTCTCTCTCTCTCTCTCTCTCTCTCTC